TCGTTTGTGCGAACACAACTGTTTGCCTTTGCAAATTATCTCCTGTGGAAGATCAAAATGTGACTTAATAAATGCCATAATTGGGCGTTTAACAGGACACACCCCTTATAAAACTCCCCTAATCCTGCAAAAGTTGCGTCGTTAAAACAACTTCCTCGCCTATCACTTTCTGATAAGTTGCGCTAATAAGCGACGACACGTGGCTTCTAGCAAAGCGATCGATTTTGGCGAAAGAAGAAAATTTTAAGTACGTAAATAGTTAAAAAGGAGTTTTATTGATATTAATTGTGCTAGTCGACGACGATGTATTATCCTTGAAGGAATAGGATGTGCGTGTTTTAGTTTGGTTTATTTTGTGTTGTGCACTAGCTCAGACCCTAATAAGTATTTGTTGGTTGCTCCGAGTCCACCCTACATTCATTTCATTATTAATGAACAGACAATGCAAGCACAAAGGCGGGGACTGATTAGTTATTCTTGACTCGAACGGGCCAGTCACTGCAGATTATTATTTTATCGACTCGCATCCTTTATTCATTTATTGTTTCTATACACTGGCAAATAAGTAATGATGGCCTAATTGCAGACGCTACCAATAACAAACTGATTCTTTCTACCACAATTATATATAGGGTGAGTCATCACCTTTTAATAAATTTGTAGAAAAAACACTCCAGATGATGACAATAATAATAAACCGTCTTTATTTCAATTGTAAATACAACTCGGGAGGCGAAGTCAAGCAAATGCTATTCGAACTTAACCCCTTTAACAAAAATATCTACATAAATAAACAGAAAAATAAATCAATTACAAAAACTGCACTCTACTAAAACTAAAAATAAGAAAAACTACTTCCAAAAGATATATTAGGGTGATTCACGAGACCAAATTCTTGATGCAACCACCATTATACTTTCTCAAGTTGCTTTGCGACACTTTTAAAAAAATTATAATTTGAATCCACGATGCCTATTATTGTCATCAATCATCGTCATGGTCATTTTTGACCAACATTACAAATTTATTATAAACTGAGCAAAATGTGGACTTATTCCAATGATGAGAAAACCGACATGATTTTAGCTTATGGAGAATGTTTGAAAAATGCATCTCTTACTTTCTGTGTGATGCCCAATGATATCCCGAAAGAATGATCATCTTTTGACACGATTAGGTTAGTTTTGAAAAATATGGGTTCCTGTTAAGTGATCAAGGCGAAGCTTGAATGAGTGGCTTCCGTAATTCGTATTTTAATAAACCCTTCATTGTGTTGGTATTTCAATTACTTCTGTTTTTCATTATTTTAATCTCAAAACTGACAAATTGTAAGTGTGCTCGCTATGATTTCATATTTATTACAAAAAATCTTTGAAATCTATGAAAATGTAATATTGGTTGCATCGAGAATTTGGTTAATCCTCGTGAATCAGCCTGTATAATAAAAAAAAAACAACAAGAAAATAATAAAAAGCAAAAAAAACTATACATTAGTAAAACATGTCTTGTAGGAGAAGGATCTTTGAAATATTGCTGTTTTAAATTGGGGTAATGAGAGATCAGAAATCTTACGCACTTCATAGCATCTTTTTCTTGAATGAAATGTTTTACGGAGGATGGTGAAGCAGTAACAAACATTTTGTATGTAAACACTGACAAAAAATAATTTTACAGTGTGTACCCGGATAGATAAAACGACTCTTGTAAAAGATAAATTGATTTGAACTTTAATTTTTTGGGGTTTAGCCTTACTTGGTTAAAGATTAATTTCTAACATAATTTTAGTTTTAAAAAATAAAATATGCCTTGAAAATATTCTCTAGAGTAAAGTGCCTTTTATGTAACAAATACCAAAATAAGTTATTAAGAAAAGTTGTGTAAAATCAACATTTGGGCTTGTATACCAAATTTGAAAATCATGGGTCAACTATGGTTTTTCATTTTTTTGCTTTTTATTAACACAAACGTCAAAAATATATTTAGTACTACGAGTAATAATCAAAATGTATTTTTTTTATTTGTAATAAAAGAAATGTTAAAAATAAAACTCTTTGATTTGCGAATTAATAAACATAAAACATAAACATACTTAAATGAAAAATCGAAGTTGGCCAATAATTTTGAAATTTGGTATACGGGTATAGATGTTGATTCTAAACATACTTAATTTTTTAAATCTAAAATTATGTTAGAAATTGGTTTTTAACCAAGCAGGGCTGAACCACAAAAAATTAAAATTTAGATCGAGAATTTTTTACCTGTTAGAACAATCGTTTCACCTACCCGAGGACAGATTGTATTTGGTCTGCCGGCAGCCATGTTATGCGATACATTTTCTTAATTTATAAATAAAACGAGAGCACGACTTTTGTATTTTTTCTTTTTGTAATCGATTTTTAGATCGATAATCTAAATAATAAATTTAATAAGACCATTGTTAAGGTTACAAAGCACCAGTGATTTGCAGAGTTTTTTCCAAAGTTTAAAATTTAAAATGTTATAACATTTTTAAGGCAATATAAAAAATATAAAAAAAAACAATCAGGTTGACATGATCTATAAATCGTAATTCCGAATCTATTACAATCATTCCAAGTATTTTAGTAGTTTGAGACACCTATTTATAGTATATTACCAATTTTAAGATTGATTTTCGAGTTATTTGTGTTTCTTGTGGAAATATAAATTGATGATTGATGAACATTTGCTCGCATTTAAATTCAAACCAATGTTTTTGAGCAATAAGAAAATTTAATTTTAACCTCTATTAATAAAATTTCAAGCTACTTCTACATCATCATACAGAATCTAATATTTCTGCGTTGTAGGTATTTTAAAATAGAAGAAATTTTAAAATTGAACCTTGTGGAACACGTATCTAATATTTCCTGCCCTTGATTCTAAGGTGCCCATAGTAACAATTTGTTTCCTATTTGTCAGATACGAATAAAAAGTTTGTTGAATTTTTGTCGAAACCGAGGTGGAAACCATAAAAAGATAATTTTGCAGATAAAAGTGAGTGATCAAACGCTTTACAAGAATCTCCAGAAAAATGCAACATTGTCACAATGGTAGATTCATTTTTATCCAGAGTTCTGTAAGCAATCATTCAAAATTTTTGCATAGCTGTAATACCAGGTGACTATTAATGTTTGTGGCAAAAAAATCCATTAGCAATACTGAATTATTTGTTTTATCACAACATTTCAAGTGACGGTTAAATCAACAATTGACGTTTGAATTTGAAAGTCAAGGTTGCCAAACAAAAATTTTTAATTTGACAACAACTTGAGGTAAATAATCACAATCATTTACAGTCACCCGGTATTACCTGCTATATTTTTTTCGATAACCTGACTGTTCATTAGTAACTATGCCTTCGAAACTATATACAGGTGTCCCACAATGAGCCTGAAATTTTTTTTTGAAGCAACCAACATTTCATTTCATAGATAACGTGGATATTAAAATATTTCACTTTAATTAGTTAAACATAGTAATCGTATTTTTATCTTTGACAAATTTTTATCAGTCAAAATGACTACTTCAGTTTTAGAAAGTTCGTCTATTTAGATATCGCGCGATAGAAACGTGCAGTCTGCGAAGCGTTTTTCAAATTTTTTTTCATAAATGAGAATCTTGTTGGCCTTTTCGACAAATTTTAGTAATTCTCATCAAATTCTCCAAGGTTTGACTTTTTATAAATTAAAGTTGAAGTGTGCTGGTCACTATGTTTAATTTATTAAAACTTAATTAACTGCTCCACAAAAGTTAAGAAGGTCGCATTTTTGTACAACAAACAGATTTTATTCTTCTAAGCATTGTGGTATCCAACAAAAACAAAAAAGTAAAAAGATATCTGCTTTCATCTCACTTTTTTAATTGATTATTAATTTTTGTTAATTAATTAATTATTGTAAGTATTGCACACTTCCTTAAGTTTTGTGGAGCAGTATATTTTAATGTCCTATGAAATATAATGTTGGTTGCTTCAACAATTTTTTGCAGGCTCATCATTACTCGTAGGACACCCTGTATACCTATAAACCGGATTATTTTTCTAAAATTTTTGATAAGACAGGTAATATGCTAATAGGTCTCATGTCAAAGCATGCAGCAGATTCTTAATTTGAAATTTATAAAAAAAGTAAATTGTTTGTACAGTCAGTTATACTATTTGTAGTTTCTGACATATACAGCTTATTGGGAAACAGAATTTGAAATTTTGTACTCTTATAATATTTTAATAAAACTAACTAAACTAAAATCAACTTGGAAAATATTGAATTTTAATTTTATACACACCAAACAAAATATAAAAAATAAAATTTTATATAAAAAAATCCGTTTTGCTGTACGGAAATTAATACCGTAGGTACAAAAATAACCAGTTTGTTAAATAAACCAATAAAATCGTGAGATTGGGGTCGAAATAAAGACCGACCACTTGAGTATGAAATCCTATTCGGGGTCCCCGAGACGGCAATGAAGTTAGCGATGAGAAATGGATGAAGTCTCTAGTCAATTTATTGGCCACCCATCCAGAATCTAATCAAGGGAATTGGGTTAGTGATATGAAATTACCCGGCCTTTTGCGAACACTGAACAACGATGATAAGACACTTCATTGGGTCGCTAACAGAAATCGCGTTAGCATCGACTGTAAAAAACACACTAGCGTGCTTTATTGCTCTTTGATTCGATGGATTTTGAACAAATCAACGCTAGTTTTCGTTACAATATTAAATAACCTATCAGCATTCATCGAAATTGAGATGTGAAATATTAAAAGACTGGAGTGAACGACGAGTCAAAGCAAGCGTTGAAATCAGGTTATCATTTTATAAAGTCTGGCATAAAATTTACGACCAGATCCTTTACATACTCAATCGCAACCGAATTGATTTACGAGGCGTAAAATTTCGTTGTATTGCTTCGAAAAAACTTGATAAATATTAAAGTGGTTCCAGTTTCATTATGAAATTTCTTGTGTTTTGCAGGAATATCGATGCACAAAGGATACGCTTTCGTGCAGTTTACGAATCCTTTTGATGCTAGAAGTGCCTGTTTGGGGGAGGATGGCAGAACTGTTCTCAGCCAAATCTTAGGTGAGTGAGAGATTTCCTTTTATTAGTTTCTAGTTCTAGTTTTCAGAATAATTAAATTTATTTCAGACATTACCTATTTATGCGATGCTGCCAACATCATAACAGTTTCACGGGTCGCTGTCGCTTTCAATTAAGCTATTAAATTATGAATTCTTTAATTAATTAAAACTGACTTTATTGTCAAAAACGGTCACAAAGAGATTGTAGGGCACCAAAATCATTTCTCGCTTATTTCAAAAACGATGCGAGTTACAAAAAAGTGATTATGTACATCCGTAATTAAAACTTGTATTTCCTACAAAAGTCTTTTTCTTTTTTATCCGGTAGCAAATACACACTTTTTGAAAACACATTTTTTTTACTCAAGCTGATTATGCATAAAATTAGACTGTTTATTGGGTTTCAAAGTTTTGTATTTTATGACTAATGTCTAGAATAGTGTGGTCGTTCGCTCATCAAAGATGTTTACATGGTTAGGTTGGGAATATTTCTTGTGTAAAGTGGCATACATAGGTTATTAAAAGCTCACCTAAACTAATTTGACATAACACTTAATTGGCACGAATACATAAAGGAAAAGGAACGACTGAAATATGAATGACATTTAGTTTCATTACCTCAATTCGTTTCATGTAGTTTCTGTGAAAATCTCAGGTTATGCGAATTAATTTGTACAATCGGTTAATGAACTTATACACTAGAGAGAAATAAATATCAAGATGTTGGAGCTTTATTGGTTTTAAGACAGTTTTCTTTTATTTTAGTTTTAACGAAACTTTTTCAATTCTTATTAATTATACAGGGTTATTCACGAGAGGGTTATTTCTATTATATTTTTTGCTGCAACCAACAATACTAATATCACTAACAGTTAAATTAAATATGTTATTTCTTTCAAATTAGAAAACAAAGTAAGTTGGATCGATTTGCTAGAAATGTCGGATTGACAGATAACCTATATTTAATCAAAATTCAACAAATAAATTTTTATAGAAACCAACTAACTAGAGGTTAACAGAGTAATAACAGCTATCGTGGATTCAGTTATAATAATTTTCAAAACTTGAAAAATGAAATCAAGAAATTGTTGCAATGTGTTTTTTAATGGGTTGCGACAAAAAAAATTCAGAAATAACCTTCTCATGAATAACCCTGTACTTTTTTCTAAAAAACAAACTTGATAAATATTAATCAACAAGGTTCCGAGGAATTGATTCGTGTCGAAAAAACCACATAATTCTTAATTGTTTTGAAGTTTTTAAAAGTCGAATATAAATTTTGACTATTTTTTGTTTGTACTAGCGATTTTGTCAATAAATATTTGTGCAGCAACGGTACAAAAGTTTCGAACAATGATTATAGTTTCATTTATTAGCTTTTATGCGCTTTGGGTATCGAAAAGCGACCAATATTTTGATAATAATCAAAAAAAACTTCAAAAATAATCCAAATTCACTTCTTGGGTCAAAGCTTGAGTCTAAAAGACTCAAAAAAGTGCATAAAACATTGTTGAAACGCAAATAATAAATATTTGAAAAATTTCGTGAATATTCAGTATATGTCCCCGGATTGAGTTTTACAAAAGGAAAAAAATATATCTTTGATTTTACGCCAAAACGGAAAAAGAAAAACATTTTTTGCTTCATCTGAAAGGAACAAGTTCTATAATTATAACTTCATTATTCTGAGACAGTGAAGAGAAAAGTTAATTTTCCTCTTAATTTTGGACTTAATTATTTTTCTTTACGTTTTAAATCCCATCACATTGGCGATTTTATTTTTTTGACAACGATGTCACTTTAACAAATGAGTTTACGGAAGTTAAATAACAAAAATATTTGTGAAAAACATAATTTAATGCCAACTCAAAAAATAGCTTTATGATTAAAGTCTTTTTTAACAAGAACAATCATTTTGCAATTAATTAGGAGTAATTCAGTAATTAATAGTCAAAGTGACAACGTTGTTAAAAAATAAAACCGCCAATGTGGTGGAATTTAAAAAGTCCAAAGTCAAAAGAAAATAATTTTTCTCTAATTTTAGTAAGTGTAAAGCACAAGAGAATAGCATAGGCATAAATATGCAAAATATGATTTTATGATTTTTCTCTTGAAACATTTCTCTCAATTCTCAATTCTCGCATTTCAAAATCCGTATAAATGACTTTTTTGCAACTCTAGAAACTCGAAGTATTGCAACACCGGTTTCAAGATTATCCGGCTCCCGATTACCCGAAGTCCTATTCCTATTCGGAAACAAAATCGAGTTTAAAAATTCCGAAAGAATTTGCTTCCAAATTCCGTTTAATCCGGAATTGTTCTTATTTTTTTGTCGAATAAACGTAAAAAAGCTTGAAACCATCAATCAGATGGCTTGAGGTAAATTCCTTAAGCAAATTATCCTCGTATGTATGTAATTCAATAAATGTTAATATGAAAATTATAATTTCTTAAATAAAATCTCATATTAAAATTTTCGTATTATCCGGAAAGGGTCCGGTGCACATTAGGTCGCATAATCAGGGTTCTAGTATAATAAATCTCAGAAAAATATTTTTTCTCTAATTTTGTTGAAATGTCTTTTCATTTATACAAGTTCTATTCAAGTTTTGATGCGAGTTTAATGTGTAATACTTTTGTGTTTTAAAGATATGTACGTGCTCTGCTCTCTCTTCATAAAAGCTTCAAAGTGGCGGTTTCGCCGATGAAATACCGAAAAACTTTACGACAATCGTCCACATTATGTAAAAGTGGGATGAACCGCTAGCAAGACAATAAACAAATGAAACGTTCAGTTTGGAAGTCGTTTTAAATAGTTTCAACCGAAGACGTAGTGCCGTTCCTGTAAAACAAAACGTCCAAAGCAGTCGCAGTGCAAACTATTTCCTGCAAGTGAATTTAATAAAACTCACTGCAACAATAGCAGCAGCGCATGCATCCATTTTGTTCCAACTTTGAATAGCTGTTGTACATCGTATCGAGGCTTGACACTTTGAAGCATTATCTCGATTCGACAAACAAAATTTTTTTTGTTTCCAAGCCGAAATAATTAAAAGTTGTCGAAAATCGCGACAAATTCAAACGAATTGAAGGTTGCATGTTTGGGAACGATGATAACCATTTCTGAACTGCGGAACGATTTCGATTCGATTCGAAACGCGATGAAATTAAAATTAATAACACGTTCGCATGTTGGGATAATTGATGTTAGTAGGTTTATTGTCAGTGACGGATTTGCCTTCCTAGGACAATGGACGCAAGCTTTGTTCGAAATTAATGTTTTCGCTCGTTTATTACCTACTTACACGAACAATAAGTGCGCTGAACTAATTTTCGAATCGCTAAAGTCGCTGCAGAAAAGCCGTAATGCGCCATTCTTTGATAATGGAAAGAGTTGACAGCAAAATTGTTTGCAACAACGCTCATTATTTGCTTCGAGCAAGGAACGGCGACGTTAAATAAATCTTGCAACAAATAAAGCGTATTTGTGTTCACATTTGGATAAAAAAAATCGATTGTTTCCGAGTGAAGTCCGAAGATAAGTTGAAGTCTTTCTCTTCTTCTATTTTGCTCAACTAATATTGAAAACCTTAATACTTGGTGAATCAAGTTTAATTTTTTACTTATAGGTACAGTTAGGGACACGGAATTTCGGACAGAACTTTTATCTCAATGTTAAACCATTCTTTATTGTCACTATCACATATTTAAACGTTAGAATGACACATAAATGTCGATTCCTCCTCTGTCACTAACAATAAAGTGAGGTAATAAAGTAAAACCTAAGATAATGTCAGTAGATTGACTGTCCTGCCGTGGTCGGCGTGATCATGTCCGAAATTCTGCGTCCCTCACTGTACGGTTTTGTGATGCATGTTTATAGGAAACTTTTATCTTAAAATTGAATATTCTATCACCTGCTTAAATTTGTAACAATAAAAACGGAACACTCTGTATGTATTTCGTCAAATCGTGTTGTTCATTTTTTCTTAGCATTTTGATATTGAAGTGCATAATCTGCTAAAAAGTTTTTTAAAAATCCAATGTTTAAATTAAAAAAATTACATACATGTATAATAAACAAATTTTTAATTTTTGAACTCATTTACATTTAAAATAATGTAGGTACAGAGTAATATTGATAATTGTACAGTAATTTTAAAAAATGGTAGTAGAAGGCAAAAGAATGTAAAAATAGTATACTTACCAAAAAACAAGTTTTATAAAAGCAGTCTTGAAGTACGAATTTAAGTTTAAAAAACGAGTGGCATAGCCACGAGCTAATTTAAAGGTCTTATAAAAAAGAGTTTTTTTATATATTTTTTTTGTAATTTGACCTCTTTATGTTGCTTTTAAACACAAGTTTTCACTTTAATCAATTTAAGGATTGTTGTGACGCTAGGTAATATCTTAATTTTAACAGTTCAAATTTTACCTAATAGTCGCCTTTTGACTATAAAGATGTCGCAAATGATGACGTCGCGAATGAAAATGAAGGCAATTATATTTTTTCGAATGTTTAATATTTAATTTCTGAGATAAAAATACCTCGATTTTAAAGTTTGACAAAAAAGCTATCTAAATGAATATTAATAGTATATTACATAACGAGCACGGAAAGTGATAAATAAAGTTGCGTACGAGGCGTTAGCCGAGTGCAGGCAATCCCGCGAGTGCGTTAGACACTTTCCTGCAAGTGTTGTACACTATTTTTCCTACGACCATAAATAATTTTTTTCTTACGAACATATTTTTTTTTCATAACGATTTATTTTTGATAATGGATACAAAAATACGTTGAATAAAGATTTATTTTTTATAATGGATACAAAAAAAATACGTAGAATAAAAAAATACAAAACATTCGAGTGTGAATTGTGCGTTAGATTTCTAACATACAGCGCGAAAACAAATCGCACAGGTTTTTGACCTCGAACGATATTGCCAATTTTCGCGCATATGTAATTGTGCGTTATGATCTAGTTTCGTACATGGACGTAG